GAGCCCCGCTGCACCGCTGCTGCCCGGGGCCGGCGGCCGGGCTGGGCCGGGAGGGGAGCCCTGCGCCGTGCTGCGCCGGGAAACATCTTGCCTTCACCTGGTAGAGAGGGAGGCGGGGAGCGAGGCCAGGGCTTTGTTGAGTTGGTTCCCACCACCAGCCACCCACAACTGCATCTGGTTTTGGTCAGAACTTCAATAACCGAGTGTTTGCGGAGGGTACGTGCCGATTCAGTATCGAGGCTTTCCTGAAGATGGCAGTCGTTTCTTGTGTAATGCTGGCGTCGGGCGCTCATTTCCAAGACAACCCCCGGTAAAGCGAGCGACTACCGCAAAATCTTCCTGGCTGTAATTTAAGGAAGCCCCTCTCTTCTCCCCTTCGATTCTCAGGGTCCGGGGGGGAGCGAGCTGAGGGCAGCGATGACAGGCTGTACTGCTTCGTGACGGTGCCTCCGTCCCCCAAAATCCTTACAAAAGCCTCTCCTTCTAGGGTGGCTGCTCTTTGTTGACATACATTTGTCATAGCATATTTTTTTTCAGAGATGTCTGAGCAGAAATGCACGGAGGGCAATATTGCTGAAGATGTAATTTGGGAGAAAGCATGCTGTCGTCGTGTTGTGTTGTGTGATCAAGACCGAGATAATGAAAGCGAATACAGGCAAGATCAGCCTAGAGTAGCTGTTTGTTTCCTTAAAAAAATGAATCTCAGGGAACTCTGCAATCATAATGAAAAGAATTATGGGGGATTTTCTGAATGGCATTACCTGTTTCATAAAGTGAGGTACTTGTTAGAAAAAAATTACAGTTCTCCTAATCCCGTTTTCATTACATTATTCTATTTAAATCCTTCCCTTGGATGGAATTGTTACAAAAATAACACATGCATAGGAAGCAGAGAAGCCTAGGCAAGATCTTCCTTCTTCATACAGTAACAACATAATCGATAAGGTGCTGCACTTCATTGCAGTCAAAATATTCTGAAGTTCTTAATACAGATTTTGGGCTCTGAACTAGGCAGTTAGCATTAAAATATTCAGGAAAAAATGCTCTATTTGTTCTGGAATGAGTATTAGTTTCTTAAAAATTGCATTTTTACTGTTTTGTACTCTAGGGACAAAAAGAACCGGGGTCATGTTGCCAGCTTGCTGTGTAGCTTTGAATGCTTTTAAGCAATTAATAAATGGATGGTTATGGAATGCTAAGTCAGGCGAATGTATATATTTGGAGTACGGCTGGATCATTATTGCATGCTTAATAGTGACAAGTAAATAACTTAGTGTTCATGAAGAGCACTAGATTGACTGCACCAAAATGGAATAGACTAATGGCTGGAATAGCCATTAAATACATAACGGCAGTGCAAACTTTTTCACTGGGTTCAGACATTACCTTATTCCTTCAGTGCACTTACGGTAAGCAGAAGGGTAGATGGCTCATCATGCCTACTTGGTCCTCAGCCTGTTTTCTGAGGTCGCCAATAAATAGATATCGCTGAAGGGCCTGGATCCTTATCGTTGCATAATCACAGACCAGGGAGTAGTTCTCCCTCTCAGGGCTTCGCAGGTGGTGCTTGTGACATTGTTGGCTCTTGAAAAGAGAATGTGGAGCCTTGAACACATGGGATTTTTTAATAGCTTGAGAAATAATTGTATATTTGTAATGCTTAGGAAATGCATGGCAGTGATTCAGAAACTCATATATTCTCCTTCACGTCTTTCTAAAATCTCCCATTGTTGCAATCTGATATTTGTGTTGCAATTTTGCATAATATTTTAACAAAAACCTCGTTAAAAATAATAATGAAAATAAACAAATTGGATTTTTTTTTTCTTTATTATGCATTCAGGTAGTTTTCTGTCAGGATTGAACTGAATATTTTAGTTTGCTTGATATATCTGATTTGTATAATGAAGCATTATAATGCCTTGACTTTCTGATCAACCATCTGAAGAATTGCAGTGTGCCTTCTAAGTTAGACTGTTGTTTGTCAGCATTTGAACTCGCTAGCCTTTGAGCACATGAGCTCAAAGTGTTTTTCAAAGCATTTAAACTGAATTAAACACTTAAGTACAATCCTAGGTCTATGTCTCAGCGAGTTGTGATTGTGTGAATGACATCTGTGTTACAAAATATGACCACAGGTTACAGCAAGTACATAAAAATGCAGAGGCTTCTGTCTTGAGTATTTTTCATGGTTAAATGTGTTTGAGTGTGATCCTGATCCAGTTTGGTTTTGCTACCCCATGGGCATGCCTTTATCTATTTGGATATTCCTACATAGGCGCAGTCAATAAAACGAAGCTCAGGTGTAGGTGTTTGCAGAACTCTGGTCTAAGTTAGTGACTTTAATTTGTGCTGTTCATTTCAATGAGAGCGGGAGCAAACTCTAGATGAGACTCTTAGGCAAAATTTCATAATTACGTTATTTTAGAAACTAGAGAATTTATAAAGTGATCATCTGTAAAGACTCTCATCCAAAACCCATTGAAATTAATGGCAGTAATTCACTGATTCCAACAGCCCTTGGACCGGGTCCTAGAAGTTAAGGGTGCTTGATAGTTTATGGCTTTGGATCAATAACTGTGATATATTTCTTCTTTTTCCTGTCCCTGTGATTGTAACTTTAGTTGGTTGAAAATGCAAAGAAATTCTTTGCAAAATAATGAAATAAAAAGCTCTACATGCGCTAGATATAGTTCACGACTTCATGTAAATCAGGAAAGATGATTTCTGCTTAAGCGCCCTGACACACATCTGTTAGAGGTAAAAAAAGCAGAATAACCCTAAAATAAAGGAATTAAACTTTCTAGTAGACAATATTATAAATTTCAACAGTATTTAATTTGCATCAGGCAAAAACTGACCATGCAGAAACTAGAGGAAGAGGCATAGTGGAAGAAGACAAGGGCTTTAATGGAAGTTGGATATCTGCCCTTCTGCATCTGGACATCTTCCCTCGAATATGGCATATATTTTCTGATTTCTTGTAGGAGCAGTGCTGCAAGTGGTGCACAGACAGGCTGAATTTGTTTTGAATCTAAACATGTATAATCAAGAAAGCTGCGTATGCAAGTTAGAATTCTGTTACTTGTTTCTGAAGATCAAAGTGAGTCTTGACAAGCTAAAAGAAATACCTTCCAGAAGTAAGTGGAGTATATTATCACAAAGGAGGAAGAATATTCATACTATGGGTATGAGATTATTTCATTTTCTCTAACTACTACAAATAATTTGTGGTAATCCTGATCTAATCTCATCTTTATGTAATAATACACTCTAATACCTTTAAATAGCAGCTTGGCATAGAAGGGTGAGCTCTGGAAAATGCACAGGACTCCATAAAATCTGAAGGAAAATGTGAACTTGTTGGCATTTAATACACATTTGCCTATTCCTATTCTGTAATTAAGCAGAAAGTGCCGCCCTCAAAGTTTAAGAAAGTTATACAGGCCGTGCACCAGTCTGGGTCATTCCTACCAGCTATTCTAAGTTAAAAAAGACCTTCAGCCACCAAATAAAGATGCCTTTTCCAGAAAGTCCAATCATGAATGATGTCAACAAAGTCAACTCATGTCTTGTTCCTGCAAGCTGAAGTACGAGTCTCATTTACTTTTGCTAAGGATGGGGAATATATTCTGGAAACAGCAGAGCAGGTTTGCGTCAGTGGTGCAAAATCAGGTATCTGTCCAAGGGTGTGGAGCTCAGTGTCCAGTAGCACCTGATGGTCCTCAGAGAGGGACAAATGGGTACCAGTTGCCGTCTGACAAACTCTGCCCTAACAGAATTGAGGAAGGGCATGCCCCCCAGAAAGAAATCACATGATGTGTAGGTTAGGCCCTTTGTCTTAGGAGTCATAGATTCAAATCACTCTGACGGCAGCTGGATTTGTGCGGAGAAGTATGGTGTACCAAAGCCAAGTCGGGGCTCTAGGGGTGAGCCTTGACGCGCTTGTGAGTGCTCTGAGCACTAAATTGTCTGGAGCCTTATTTTTGTTTTTAAAGTAGTGCTCAAAATGGGACAGATAAGGGGTTGTCATGCTCATCGAAGAGTAACAGTCAGCTGAATACGCAGGAGATGTCAGGGTCTAAAAGAGGGTCCAGTTTACAGCAAACTGAACTGGCAGACATTTGTTCTTGTATCGTCAGATGAGCTTGTGTCTGGCATACACTGTAGTTGGGT